TTTTATCACATGATCTTACAGTCTACACATCATGTCATGTCAAAATAAAGCATAGCAGATGGCTCAATGATTGCATGCTAAGTGCAAAGACTATATGATTACTGCTATTTCTGTATGATATTTGCTGACATAAAACGACAGATGAATTAGATGAACAGTGAGGTAAAACTATATTCATGTGTATTTACCACAAAACATTTTGCTTACATGTTTGATGCATAATAATAAATGACTGAAGCGGGAGACTAAGAGGACTATTCCTAAAGGGCTAGGATTCTTGGGACATTACCACAATAATTTTTTCTTGTGGGGTTCTGCAAAGATGATTTATGATTATCACTATGGAATAAATGTCAGCTGATTGCTCTCAGCCAATGAGCTAACAGAAGTGCCTGCCAGGGAACATTTAGCTCTCAGGAAATTGTAGAGCTGTGCAATAATTCAAAAACAGTTTGACTTCTTTCAAGGAGAGGAACCAGGGCACTCCTGGCAACACATTCAATACAGTAAACTTGGAGCATTCATTTAAGTTTAACCTTTAGTTAGCAATGAGAGCCACAAAGAAAACTGTTAGGGTACAGACTTTTCACCAGCCTCCTACAAGGCAATAGAAGCAGTAATATTTTCATCAAGTTTCTCTAATTATTTCCATACACTTGACAATTTCACAGGTAATTATGCCATGAGTATTGGTAGGCATTAGCTATTTTAGTATCTTTTGGCATGGTGCAGTTATCAACATGATTCTGTCCTTTTCACCTAACTCAAATGCCAAATTATGTGCTCTGGTAAATATGACACATTAAGGCTAATGGCATTTTTGTCACACTCCAGCTCTTTTTTCTTTTTAATCAGTGATAAAATAAACAGATGCTTCTAACTACAAATATTCAGAATGAAAAGCATATAAATTCCTATAATACACAGTTCACTTTTATATATTAAATATCTCCAAAATGATACAAGACACAAATTGTTTCAATGACATGCTCCCAATGTAAAGCATTTTATCTTGGATGTAGACTGAGCATTAGATATGTGCCACCAAATATTATATATATTTTTTTTTAACTTACAGCATACTGTAGGGGTTACAGTGCCAGGAGTGCCATGATGCATTTTCTCTGTAAGGAGTAAAACCGTATTGTAATGGTTTAACTGATTACCTGAGGTCCGCAGGGCACTACATCCCACCTACACTACTTCTGACAGAGCTGGAAGCTTCTGTTAGCTCTCCATAGCTAAACCGCGCAGTACAAGACCAGTTGTGTTTAATGTTTGCACATAACTTATAGCTCAGACCATCAGTTGAACTCTCTCTGCCAATGAGCAAAGCCCTGCATCAATTGCACTGCAGTGGTTATGGTGCTTGGAAGGTTCCTATAAGTGCTGTGCTCATATCAGGATTTCTCATTAAAGTAGGCTGCAAACTAACAAAAAAAAGAATTCTCCACTAATTATTTCCTGTGCAAAATATCTGTGAGTTAAAATGTAAAACTTTAAAACATCTAAGCAAAAAGTTAAACTGTATTTTGTACCTGGTATTTCTACGTGTTCATGTTCCAGGAAACAGTACAATTGAAGTAAAGCCAAAATGTAGAATTGGGATGTCTCCACCAGTTCCAGGTGGCTATTTCTTGAAAAATGTTTGGCACTCTTTATTCTGCAACCTTTCTTCATATGAACCATTGTCTCAAATCAATGAGTGTTTGTCTGGAAAAATGATTTACCTCATGGGAGATTCAACTATCCGCCAGTGGATCGAATATTTTCCAAAACTCATGAAAAGTAAGTGTCTAAGAAATTGTTTCATATCCATGTATGTATGTTTTTATAAAGAAAACTGGCATTATTAAGGCTATTCACCAAAATGAGAATTGTCAGGAATACAAAGTAACTTTAAAGGGACACTATAGTCACCTGAACAACTTTAGCTTAGCAGTTTTGGTGTATATAACATGCCCCTGCAGCCTCACTGCTCAATCCTCTGCCATTTAGGAGTTAAATCCCTTTGTTTAGGAACCCTAGTAACACCTCCCTGCATGTGACTTGCACAGCCTTCCATAAACACTTCCTGTAAAGAGAGCCCTATTTAAGATTTCTTTATTGCAAGTTCTGTTTAATTAAGATTTTTTTATCCCCTGATATGTTAATAGCTTGCTAGACCCTGCAAGAGGCTCCTGTATGTGATTAAAGTTCAATTTAGAGATTGAGATACAATTATTTAAGGTAAATTACATGTGTTTGAAAGTGAAACCAGTTTTTTTTTCATGCAGGCTCTGTCAATCATAGCCAGGGGAGGTGTGGCTAGGGCTGCATAAACAGAAACAAAGTGATTTAACTCCTAAATGACAGTGAATTGAGCAGTGAAATTGCAGGGGAATGATCTATACACTAAAACTGCTTTATTTAGCTAAAGTAATTTAGGTGACTATAGTGTTCCTTTAAGGTGAATGTCAAATTTAGGGTCAGATTAGCTAAGCTACAGATCACTGTAACAGTTTGAGATATTAACTCATCTTACCTTCAATCCAGTGCTGTCATGCTCTCATCTTCATTAGTATCACTCTATTGTAGCACTGGCTACCGTATATATATATATATATATATATATATATTTATTTATATAAATAAATAGTGCAATATGGTATGTCCAGTGGTTGAGTTCTAAAGTAATCTTATATAATATCACTCACATTTGCTAGAGCTATCTTAGAGCTCTGCTGTAATGCACATGGACGGAACAATAACCATCTAAGGATACATGTAGCTCTAGCCATCTCTTGTATCTTGGATAAAGTGCAATATGCAAATCATATGAAAAAACACAAAAGGAAATTCCGATAGTGAAGTAAATACTTATAAGTGCTCAAAAGAAAATAAAGTAATGTACTCACATTTACTAGAGCAGAACTTGCTCTAGTGTATACAGCATAGGTGGTATAATCCCCACCTGGAAATATGATGGTTCCAGGAAGTAAGTGAAAACCTTTATCATTTATTAAACAAATAAACAATAAAAGTAGTATAAGTGTCTTCAGAGGTACACAGATTATATACAAAAAATATTATGAGTCAATGTACTTTTTAAAATACTTGTCTGTTTTAAAGCATATGCATGTGCATGTGTTATCATTTTCAACAATAAAACTAAAATCATTCTTTTAAAAAACGTTAAGAGTACAAATTAATATGAGTTGTGCTTCGTAATTGTCAGCATAGAAAATATCATGATTTTTTTAGATGTAACAATTTTATCTTTAGAGAACAGGATTTGATTTTGATCATACCAAAAAAAAATGTCTTTACTTTCTTGCAGGTCTAAAATTTTTTGATCTTCATGGAAGTGGCTGGCACCAACAATTTTTAGCGTTAGACTTGGAGAGGCAGGTCTTAATTCAGTGGAAGAAGCATGGACACCCATTTGTCACTCAGAGTTTCTTTACTCTCAAAGACTATGCTACTGTCACTCTTGAAATTGACCGGCTTGCTGGTGGTCCTCATACAATTATTGTCATTGCTCTTGGACAACATTTCAGACCTTTTCCTTTTTCTTTGTTTGTAAGAAGACTTCTCAATGTACGTAAGGCTATTGAATGCCTTTTCTTGAGAAGCCCTGACACTAAGGTCATTATAAAGTTAGAAAATACCAGGGAAATAAACACAGATGTAGAGCGATTTAGTGACTTTCATGGTTACATTCAATATCTCTTGGTCAAACACATCTTTAAAGGACTTAACATTGGAATGATTGATGCTTGGGACATGACAGTAGCCTTTGGTTCATACAATGTTCATCCACCTGAAAGTGTCATTAAGAACCAAATTAATATGTTCTTGGAATATATATGTTAATTCATAAATTACAACTTATACTCAATGCTAATATTTCTCAAAAGGCTTCATAACAAGGTATATTTTGATACCAAACCCTGGTTAATTGTAAACATAGCACAGAAGGAAAATGTTAATTTTCCCATTGTTAATATTACTGTGCTATTGGAGTTGTTATTAATAGACTATAATACTTCTCTAGTCTAGAGAAGTCACCAAGATTTTCTTACCCATCTTTACACTTCTCAACTAAGGCCATGAACTAAAAATAAAAAGTATCTCATTCTTATTTAATCAAAAAAACTTTTTATAAATAAGAAAACAATTAACTCTCTCATTAATGAAAGCCTGCACTGCAAAGTGGGGAGCAAAGTGCATGCATCCAATTGAACAGATAATCATCATTCATACTGGACTATGATTTTTGTGTAAATCGCCCAGCAGTTTGGTGAAAATGGTTTTCTGTTAAGCTCAGCTAATATTTGGAAGATAAGAAATTTGCAAGCTATTCAATGATTTGATGAAATGATGTTTGTGAAGGGTGACCTATGACTAACAATTGTGGAATAAAGTTCTTGATAAATTTGATTTCAAATGGATACTTTCTGATATGATTGTTTTACTATTACTGCTTCTGTTTTGGTTTTCTATTTTGTTGAGAAATGTTTAAGGAATATTAATATTAATTCAGCTTTCATGCTTAATGACTTTACATATATATATATATATATACACTATTTACAAATAAGTTTGGAGCTCTGCCCATCTAAAGAAAAAATGAAATAAATTACCAGGGTGCAGACCAGCGATAAGTATATAGATTCAATGATGAGGTGCACTCCTGGATTTACGAAGAATTCAATTTAATATGTCAAAAACATAGTTCACAGGATCGACATTTCGACCTACAAAAAGGTATTTTTCAAGATCAGAACAATGTGTGCAATTTCAAAATGCTTATTTATAAATAATAAAGTGATTACTTACCAAGTGAAGTGAGTGAAACTTCCCCCACCAGATCGGAACCCGGAAGTGTGAAAAGACCACATGTGACGTCATCACGTTGCGTCCCGCTGTGTTTACAGTGGTTGCTAAGCAACCTGTGGGAAAAAAGTGCCATGGTAAAGAGGTGAATAGCGATATGCTATAATGCTGAATGGAGGAGTAATACGGATCCAGGGGGGCAATCTTTCCCATGTGCGAAGTACAGTGACCAAAATACAACTATTAAATGTGGATGAATACAGTGAGATGTGCACAACTAACTAATGAAGGGAAAGATTGCTCCTCTATGGATCAACAAATATAATAAGGGAGATAAGGCTGTAGAAAATATACTAAGGGTATAAAGCAATAAAGGTGATATGAGCAAGAGAAAATAGAAGAGAATACTGCTATAGATCAGTGAGAGTAATTGGATATGTATACAAAAGACAAAAACATTCAAGACTATTAGACCGAGAGATGCAATGTATCAATCAAAAGTGAACTAATGATATATACACATATATTTACAAGATAGAAGGCATAAATATACTGTGCATAAATATACTAAATACTGTATATAACTGTATTGAAGAGCACATGATGCCACATGGAAAAAACTATTAGAACTGGAAATATATACCTGATACATAGTAAAGTGAAAAAGGGAAATACACCAGCTGTGTGGAAAAAAACTAGTGCTTCAATAATATGGGGAATATATCTTGTACATTGAGTCAAGAATGATATTATCTCCCTGACAGAAAGACATCACTAGGGCTATACAAAATAAGGCAAAATTAAAGGAACATAGACAAAACTATGTTTTCATTTAAACCATGTGGGGATACAGTATTGAGATGGTGTATCCAGTATGCCTCATGTTGTAACAAAGTCCGTGACCTGTCTCCTCCATGGGGTAAAGGTGGGATATGTTCAATGGATATGAATCGAAGAGATGGCAAACGGTGTCCGACTTCCAGAAAATGTTTCGCAATGGGTTTATCAGACCTTTGATCTCTGTATGCGGTATTGAAAGTAGAATGGTGTCCTCTGATATGGTCTCTAAGCGTAAGGTCCGTCTTGCCAACATATGCAAGACCACAAGGACAGGTAATCAGGTAGATCACGTGATCAGTTGTGCAGGTGATGTATTGCTTAATAGGGTACCTTTTGCCGCTGTGTGGATGTACAAAATAATTTCCTGCAATCATATGACTGCATGTAACACAGCCGGTACATTTGAAACATCCTACTTTTGTTTTAGTTACCGTTTTCTTGTAGCAATGTGTCGGATCACCCTTAACTAAAAGATCTCGTAAATTTTTATTTCTTTTATAACTGATTATAGGTCTGTGATGAAATTTGTCTGGTAGGCTTTTGTCGGATTGTAGAATGTCCCAATGTTTGTTAATGGATCCACGGATTTTATGTGTCTCTGTGTGGTATGTAAGAGGCAAGAACAAATTATTTTTTCTAAGTTTGGTTTGCTCAGAGTTTTCCAAGGTTGATTTCTCCTGAAACCATTGCAGCACTTTCTCTTTGGCCTGAGATAAAATCATAGGGTGGTACCCTCTTTCCAAAAATCGATCCCACATTTGTTGTAATTGTGTCTCTCTGGTGTTTTCATCACTATTATACCTCAAAACCCACATGAATTGAGATATAGAGAGGGAATCTTTTAATTGTTGCGGATGAAAGCTTGTGGCCTGCAACAAAGTGTTCCGATCGGTCTGTTTCCTGAACAGCTTATAACCAATTGTATTGCCTTTTCTAAAGACAGTCACGTCCACAAATACTAAAGATTCACGATGCCAAGATGATGTAAGGGTGACCGGTAGTGGAGATGAGTTAATATCTTGTAACATAGAGTTTAATTCCTCTGGTGTGCCACTCCAAATCAAGACGACATCATCCACAAAGCGTAGGTATTTAATAATTTTATGCGGATATTTAGAAAGAATATATTCCTGTTCAAAGCAAAACTTAAAAGCGTTCGCATATGAGGGAGCTATCTTCGCCCCCATCGCAGTTCCTGAGACTTGGAGGTAGGAGTCTTCAAATTTGAAGTAATTGCATGTAAGGGTGATATTAAGGAATTCCAATAGATATTCTATTGGTGGACCTTGGTACACACTAGATTTACTCAGTACTTCTCGAACAGAATGTATTCCTTCCTTATGTGGAATGATCGTATAGAGGCTTTGCACATCAAGTGTAACAAATAATATATCTTTGTCATCCAAAGTTAAAGTGTTAATCTATTTCAGGAAGTCCTGTGTGTCCTTCAGGCAGGTCTGTAATGTCTGTACACTTTTATTGATGTAAAAATCAACATATTTGGCGATGGGTTCAATTAATCCCTCTTTGGCCGACACTATAGGTCTTCCCGGAGGGTTGACGGGATCTTTGAGAAGTTTCGTTAAAGTGTACAGGACTGGGTGTTTAGGATATTTTATGTACAGGCTTTTGCCTAGACGCTCATCAAGGTAGCCAGCAGATATGCCCAGTCCAATGTGTTGTTGGATGATCTTCTGAAATTTATTGATAGGGTCAAATGTAATCTTACAATATGTACTCCCATCATTGAGTTGTCGAAGTATTTCAGATTTATAATTCGAATATGTTTGTATCACGATGGCACCCCCCTTATCTGCTGGACGGATAATAATTGAAGGATCTTCAATAATGTCTTTTAAGGCACTGTATTCTTCCTTCGTTAAATTTTGTTTTGGATGGGAGGGTGTGTTAATGATTTTTACAAAATCATGATGGACTGCCTGTACAAAGCATTTGATGGATGGGTTATTGCTGTAAATATCTTTCTTATCTTTAAGAAAGATAGGTACGACTGGTTTTGTTGTGGATTCTTTCATAATCTCGTTGCAGTACAGGGTTCTCTGTAGTTTATACAATTCAATTTCCATATCAAATGGAACAGGTTTTCTAGCCGGGACAAAAGTTAATCCTTTATTGAGAACTGAATGATGGTATGGAGTTAAAATCTTGTTTGACAAATTGATGACTATTGTCGCCTCCTCTGCATGGGTTTTTTTTCTTTGACACTTGTATTTCGTGTGGTTCTTCTTTCGTACCACCCTGTTTCTCTGGTGTTTGAGGTTAAGGTATTTGATCCTGCAGGGGGATCGTTGGTATGCTGGTCTCTGTCTAAAAAAGTAACAGATTTGTAAGATGAGCTTTCTAATTTGGACTCTGCATCCGATGTGGATTCTCCTGAGCTCACATCAATTGTTTGAAATGAGGGTCTGCGTATCTGTGGGCGGAGTCTAGGGTTGTAGTTTCTGTTGGATTCAGTGCCGCTGAGCCAGCGGCATACTTGGTGGTACTGGTAGTCGTGATGAACTTTTTAAAGTTTTTGTTTCTTAAACCGAATCAATCCGTTCTTGTATTTGTTTATTTCTTCTTGCAATTTGATCATCAATTCGGTTGAGGATGGTGCTTGTAGTGGTGTAACATTTGCTATTTCAAATTCACGTATCGATTTTTTTAACATAGACTAATTCCTTGCCAACTTCCTCCACAACAATCACCATCCAGTCAAGCGAGCATTGTTCATCCATCTTTTACAGAATTCTGGATTCTGACGGCCGATCGTAGGGGCATTCCTAACACGGAATCCTCTCGAGATACGATTAGCTCTATAATAGTCAGATATAAATATACCGTGAAGATCCAGGTCAACCTCTCTTTTTTTTTTTAAGTTTTAGCAGGTCATTATATAGATCATTAGCTGTATTAGTATGGGTAAGATCTTGTGTGGTACGTGGCCACAGTAAGGATTCTGCATGCTCCTCTGTGATAGATAGTGTCATAGCTGTCTCCTCTAGTGCTCCAGCTCTTGCCAAAAAATCCTCCATAAAAACAGATCTTGAGGGGGGTGAATGAACTCACCGTTTAGTAGAAAACCACAAATTGTAGTATAAGTGGAGGTGCACAAACAAAGGGTATCGCAGCCCCTATATACACTATTTACAAATAAGTTAGGCACTCTGCCCATCTAAAGAAAAAATGAAATAAATTACCAGGGTGCAGACCAGCGATAAGTATATAGATTCAATGATAAGGTGCACTCCTGGATTTGTGAAGAATTCAATTTAATATGTCAAAAAAATAGTTCACAGGATCGACGTTTCGACCTACAAGAAGGTCTTTTTCAAGATCAGAACAATGTGTGCACCGCGGGACGCAACGCGATGACGTCACATGCGGTCTTCACACTTCCGGGTTCCGATCTGGTTGGGGAGGTTTCACTCACTTCACTTGGTAATTGATCACTTTATTTCTTATAAATAAGCATTTTGAAATTGCACGCATTGTTCTGATCTTGAAAAAGACCTTTTTTTGTAGGTCGAAACGTCGATCCTGTGAACTATTTTTTTGACATATTAAATTGAATTCTTCACAAATCCAGGAGTGCACCTCATCATTGAATCTATATATATATATATATATATATATATATATATATATATATATATATATATATATATAAAATTAAACATTACTCATCTAAGAAACATCATACACCCTACGTGGTTGCAACGTTTTGAGTTTATTTATCCAGTTTATCCAAAATATTTCTCTTTGAGCTGTTTTTTAAATGCCATACCTTCCCCTCCAGTGTATCTCTACTTGTTCTATGCCCACATAATAAAAATATTTCTGATTACAATTCTGGCAATATACAGGTACTAAATGTTTTTAGAAATTATTTTTAACGTTACTTTGATGTTCTAATATTGTTTTCTTTCAGTTTTCTACATGTTATTCCCCTGTATTGTTTCCCACAGGATTGTTGCGATGAATAAATAACATGTTTTGTATTACAATTTATATTAGATTTTATTAAAAAAACTTTCATGATTTTAAATTCTTTTACTCACAATAAAAATATATACAATGAGTTCTCCTTGTGAGCTCTGCCAAATTAAGGGCCATACCATTCACTCCAAATGGCATTTAAGAAAACTGAAGGTAATTGTTAATTGGTAATTGAAGTAATCCCCAAAATACCTTGAGCATATTCAGGGCCTCCACCCACCACACAGAGACTATGTCCTTCCCCTTATTACTATAAGAACACCCATCCCCTGACCATTGGTACTGGCAGGGGGGCATACGAATTTTGTCCTGTTTATTATATTAAATGTCCCATACTCACTGGTCACCGAAGCTTGACTGTGGTCTTTCCAGAGCTCTTCCACCTGACCAGGCTGCATCTCTCTCATTCCAGACAGGTATCGTCCCCTCTGCCTATTCCCCTGCTGCTCTCCATCCAGGCAGGTAACCCCCCCTCTGCCTGTAATATAATTAGCTCCAGACTTTATAAAGGCACTTGTGGCTCGCAGGCCTAGCTCTTTCGACTTTGTTGCATGCTACATTTGCATGCATGGCCCAACAGGTCCAAAGACTGTTACTGGCATCCCTGAACAAATTAGACACGGTACACACAGTTCAAAAAGGAACTAACATACAAATCTTTATTTTAAACAAGGACTAGCCTTTTTAAACTAGTCCTCAAGCGTGCGGTGAAAAACAAATATAACCAAACATTCATTACCTGAAAAACAAACATAATACTGCAACAAATATATAACACAATCCAAACTGTCTCCACATAGGGAGGTTAAATACTACCTTTATAGTAATATGGGGGTCTTATTGACTGCTAGCACTGTCAGCAGGCAAATAATGAAGATTTTATTTTTAATGCCCTGGTTTGAAGCTTCCAGACCCAGATTTGCAACATTTGATATGGACCTCAGTTGTCCAACAGCGATCGGTCTGGCTGAAACGTGAAACAAATTCAGGCATGTTTGGGGCCTGAATTACAAAATAGGGACAGTGTTAAATAATCCTCTGTTAATATGGACCTAATTACTGCTGTAACTAGATATGCAAATAGCAGTTATTTAACTGCACATGTACCCCAAATTCACAGTTTTTATCTGTGTATACCGATCTCATTAAAAGAGACATAGGGGACAAATATCAACTATCTGAGCAACCAGCAGTATCGCAATTGTGGAACTACAGTACATCTCTATGCACACAGATTGCTTCTGTGTATAAACGGGTGCTAACTTATTATTATTATGTTATTATTTATATAGCGCCATCAAATTCTGCAGCGCTTTACAATGAGTGGACGAACAGACATGTAGTTGTAACCAGACAAGTTGGACACACAGGAACAGAGGGGTTGAGGGCCCTGCTCAATGAGCTTACATGCTAGAGGGAGTGGGGTAAAGTGACACAAAAAGGTAAGGATAGTATTAGACTAGTGACAGTTGCAAGAGAGGAATCTAACTTAGGAAGAACCAAGGGACTCACGTATAGCACCATCTATGAGAATAGCGGCATGTTAATTATACAACTTATGGCATAACTTTACACACTGATCAAACATATTTAGGCTCATTTATGTTTTAAATTAAGTAGATTGATGTGAGTAATAAGTACTAGTTTTCTAATAATGTAGCTCTTCACATGCCCTCTTTTATTAATTGTACCTTATTAAACGTACCCTATCTCTGTATTCCTTCTTTGCATATACAGTGGAGGGAGTTAAATATACTTAATTACACCCTATGAATACATAGACTTATCCACGATCACTGGGGGAGTGTTGACCTTCCAACACACTCACATGAATGAAAGACTTCCCCATATGGGCGTGCATCTATATAGACACTGCAGTGACATAGCGAGCTAAGCCTCCCCATCAGTATTGGAGGCGTGTAAATATACACACACCTCCCATTGGGTATAGGATATCTCCTGCACTGACTGAGAGGAATCCCGCCCCACGTGGCTAATAACCAATTAGGTCAAGGGGGAGGAATGTTTTGCACGCTTGTCCGGTATACAGAGAATCGAGTCCCTTGTGGACATTATTCAATCAGATAAGATGGGATTGTACATCACTCACGCCCCCCTGACTGGAATGTTGTTAGACTCAATATACTCAGGTGTTAGTCGTACAAATCCCCCTTCCCCCCTCCACCACACAACAACTTGTGTTTCTATGCTAATCAAGTGTGATATATAAATGAACAGGCTAGCCAGTCTACAGATATTGCCCCTGACAACTGCGTGCTGACACGTCGAAACGCACATCAAGCTATTTGTTGCTTTTATCACTCTTTCACCTGGTAGCACTAATGTGCACTAGTTTAGTTTAAGATTTATTTATTTTTTTTAGGCAGGGAGACTGGTTCAGGTAGGCATTAGTGGTTAGTCCACGGTGTCGAGGTAACATAGGGACAGACTGTTTGAGTTATTGTGATTTGTGATGTTTGGGGATATCCCCCTCCACGTTCTCCCAGTATATTTACCTCTTGGAACACCTATTCTGTGTATATAAGATGGGGTAGTGGATTATTCTAAATATTTATTTAGTTATTTTGCTTTTGAGATCAGTTTATATATACTTAGTTAACCTCAGCAGTATACTTTTGTGGTCCCTCCCTACCTATTGTTTTCTCACATTACCCGTTTTTCCTATTATTCCTAGAATTAGTAAAAGTAGGGCTTTCTTCCCTTACTACTGTCACTCTCCCATTTAGGACTTTTTTGTCCATTACAGGTTTTTATGATATAATGTAAGAGACATTAACAACACTAATAAACACTTTCAAACCATATAATTTACAATTAACCCCCATATACCTAAAACCCATTGTTTGCACACGTATCTGGTTTGTTTTTGGCTTTTACCTATTTGCCCACTGGCTGCTAGCACTGCCAGTGAAAAAATATTTTTTTATTATTTTTATATACAGGACAGGATTTGAAGCAGTCAGGTCCAGATTTCAGTTGGCACTGGCTGTGACTAGGTGGCTCTCAGTAAGTGGAAAATCAGGCAACCCCTTGTTGCTGGTCTGTCTCTTAATAGAGGTCAAAGTTTCTAGAAGAACCCTGCTTAGAAATATAGTTATCTCCTTATTTGGTGGCAGAATGGAATTCTGAACCACAAATCACACAAATCACATGCTCATCCATTGCGTTATTCGGAGTTACAGAATTTGGATGCCATGGCAATTGACCTATATCCAGACAGATAGCGGTTCATTTGAAACTGAATGCACAAGTCTATTAATTTTCAATTGCTATTAGTCAACAAGCTATATATTATATGCTTATGTAAACTAATGTCTACCTTAATATTATTTTTTTTTCTTCAAATTATTTTAGTATTCCATTGGATTTAAATAAGCTAATGGAGAAATCAGAATCATATAAAGTAACCGAGCTACATCCGCTCTTTAATATATTGTTGATTTTATATATATATATATATATAAATATATATATATTATGTTAATACATTACTGAGTTACATGCTTTTAGTAAATGTATATTATATATTACCAGATCAAGAAGTTCAATGTATTTTTCAGGTATTTTCAAATGTGGACACGGAACCATCGACTTCTTCTGGCTGCAGTGTCTGCTGCTGTCCTTTTGATATTTTTGAAAGTTCATCTTGTGCAAGTCAGTTAAACTCTAAAAAGTTACGTATGAATCAGAGGTTCAGTTGCAATACTATTTTAATACTAATACGGAATAAATAAAAAAGTGACCTTTATTTGAATAGTATTTCACAAGATTCTGCTTTGGAGCTTATTCATGCTCTAGTCATTTCTTGCATTGATTACTGTAATTCTATTCAGAAACTTATAAAGACATACAGTTTTAGATGGAATAATGGTACAAGCAAAAGGCAACCAGGAGGGAAGAAATGGAGCATGCAGCAGCTGTGATGTAGTTGTAAACCGGGGTGTAACAAGGAGGAAGCAGGAATGTGTG